AGTGCGTACACACTATAATAGTACATTAGCATACTCGAGCTGTGCAGTTCCGGCAGAAATAGTTGCCAGGGTAATGACGTCGGGGTTACTGTTCTCGCAAAGTACCGAGGAAAACTGCAGTTATATAATACCCAAAACCCTCTGATTGACCCACTGTAGAACAGGGCGTTTTGTACCTTAGGTGCCATAAGAAATGAACTACTGTGATGTCTTAAACGCTTTTAAATGCACAACACCAACCTTGTCCATCTTCCCCTGGAGCCGGAGCTGGCGCGGTGGAACGTCATCAGGTGAACAGTACTGCGGGGGGAGGGCAAGCCGATACCCGCGCCCACCCACTGCGCCTGTCATCGACGCCTGCCAGCTGGTCAGTGAGTCGGAGCTGACAGCTGGTCAGTGAGTGGGAGCTGACAGCTGGTCAGTGAGTCGGAGCCGACAGCTGGTCAGTGAGTCGGAGCCGACAGCTGGTCAGTGAGTCGGAGCCGACAGCTGGTCAGTGAGTCGGAGCTGGTCAGTGAGTCGGAGCCGACAGCTGGTCAGTGAGTCGGAGCCGACAGCTGGTCAGTGAGTCGGAGCCGACAGCTGGTCAGTGAGTCGGAGCCGACAACTGGTCAGTGAGTCGGAGCCGACAGCTGGTCAGTGAGTCGGAGCCGACAGCTGGTCAGTGAGTCGGAGCCGACAGCTGGTCAGTGAGTCGGAGCCGACAGCTGGTCAGTGAGTCGGAGCTGGTCAGTGAGTCGGAGCCGACACCCTCCGCTCAGGCGCGCCAGCTGTCCGTCCAGCGCGACACGTCCAACTTGGCGCCTGGCTGGCAATACGGACTGAGTTACTGCCGCTCTCGGCGGCACTAGCAGCGCGCCGACCATCGATTTGGCCGGGACCACCGCCACCGGCCGACTGGACTCACCTGGCCAGGAGCGGACCACAGACCACGGACCACGGACCACGGACCACGGACCACGGACCACAGACCAAAGGACCACGGACCACGGGCCACGGACCACAGACCACGGACGACGGGCCGACCGACCACGGACCACAGACTGACGGACGGAGACGGAGAGACGGACCGAGACGGACCGAGACGGACTGACGGACCGAGACGGACCGACGGATCGACGGACTGACCGACAGAGACGGACTGAGACGGACAGAGACGGACTGAGACGGACCAGAGACGGAGAGACGGAGAGACGGACCGAGACGGACTGACGGACAGAGACGGACCGAGACGGACGGGAGACGGACCGAGACGGACTGACGGACCGACGGACCGACGGACCGACACGGACTGACCGACGGTGTATAGACACCAGCGTCCGCGGCACTGACCAGTCAGCTGATGATGTAGGAAGGCGTAGCTAATCTCTTAATACTGATCTCAGCGCACACCTGCTAAAAACGGCACGCCCCAGCAGCGCCGCCTGTCAGCGGCCGCCTGTCAGCCCCAGCAGCGCCCCGCACCCCCCCTCCCCACGCCCCAGCAGCGCCCCAGCCTTAGCAGCGCCGCCTGTCAGCGGCCACCTGTCAGCCCCAGCAGCGCCGCCTGTCAGCGGCCACCTGTCAGCCCCAGCAGCGCCGCCCCAGCAGCCCCCAGCCCCAGCAGCGCCGCCCCAGCAGCCCCAGCCCCAGCAGCGCCGCCCCAGCAGCCCCAGCCCCAGCAGCGCCGCCCCAGCAGCCCCAGCCCCAGCAGCGCCGCCCCAGCAGCCCCAGCCCCAGCAGCGCCGCCCCAGCAGCCCCAGCCCCAGCAGCGCCGCCCCAGCAGCCCCAGCCCCAGCAGCGCCGCCTGTCAGCGGCCACCCACAGACACGGCCGTGCTCGCAACAAGCCGACATGCAGTGCAAGATTTCCAACAGTTCTTATATTAATGCTATACATTCACAACACGTTTCGGTCATGTGACTGAGCTGACTTGCAACACTTTTTAATGGTGCTTTCCATCACTTTCGGGAGAGAGGGTGAGAGAGAGAGAGAAAAAAGAGAGAGAGCGAGAGAGAGAGAGCGAGAGAGAGAGAGAGAGAGAGAGAAAAAAAAGAAAAAATGACACCTTTCTTGTCGAGGCCTTTTTCAATTTATAATCGATGAGGTTATAGAGTACAAAACAAAGCACCTGTTCCGCCTGAGCGCGGCCTTACGCCACTGACGTGTGGCCGTCGAGCCGTTATCCATTGAAATAATGTTTTTTATACAGAACAGAATAAACAGGCATTGATTGAAAAAGGATTTTAGGATCAAGGACCTCACTGCATGTCTCAGCAAAATTTATGTTCATATATTATATACGCTTCATGTGATTTCGAACTCCATCTGAAACACAACCAAGATCAGTAGAGTGAGATGCAAACTCCACTTTGCCAGATTGATACATTACGGGTGATTATGCACAATACATATTAGCTCATCTCTGAGGTGGCTTCTCGGCATTGTCGGCGATACTCTATCATATTAATTACTCATTAAAATAAGGTATCACATAATCACCAAAACTATCCAACCCTGCCTGATAAGAGTAACTTCCCTACCGGATAATCTATGACAGAGACTACAGAATCCCTCCCTCCTGCTCAAAGGGAGGCAGCTGCTTTATACTGGAGTGGATGTCGGCCTTTCATATCTGGCTGGCCATTGTGTCCGGTGGGCGGCCGAGGTTTTACGGGCGCGTCCAGGTCCACTGAGGCCGGCCCGGCTATTCGGCACCGATAGCCGGCCCGGGTCGGCGGGGAGGGGTCCGCGGGGAGGGACCCAACGGCTCCCGGCCACAATCAGACGGCTCTGTTCCGACCGCAGCCGGGGGCCCCACAATCAGACGGCTCTGTTCCGACCGCAGCCGGTACGGCTCTGTTCCGACCGCAGCCGGAGGCCGGCGGGGAGGGGTCCACACGGCTCTGTTCCGACCGCAGCCGGTACGGCTCTGTTCCGACCGCAGCCGGTACGGCTCTGTTCCGACCGCAGCCGGTACGACTCTGTTCCGACCGCAGCCGGTACGGCTCTGGTCCGACCGCAGCCGGTACGGCTCTGTTCCGACCGCAGCCGGTACGGCTCTGGTCCGACCGCAGCCGGTACGGCTCTGTTCCGACCGCAGCCGGTACGGCTCTGGTCCGACCGCAGCCGGTACGACTCTGTTCCGACCGCAGCCGGTACGGCTCTGTTCCGACCGCAGCCGGGGGCCCCACAATCAGACGGCTCTGTTCCGACCGCAGCCGGTACGGCTCTGTTCCGACCGCAGCCGGAGGCCGGCGGGGAGGGGTCCACACGGCTCTGTTCCGACCGCAGCCGGTACGGCTCTGTTCCGACCGCAGCCGGTACGGCTCTGTTCCGACCGCAGCCGGGGGCCCCACAATCAGACGGCTCTGTTCCGACCGCAGCCGGTACGGCTCTGTTCCGACCGCAGCCGGAGGCCGGCGGGGAGGGGTCCACACGGCTCTGTTCCGACCGCAGCCGGTACGGCTCTGTTCCGACCGCAGCCGGAGGCCGGCGGGGAGGGGTCCACACGGCTCTGTTCCGACCGCAGCCGGTACGGCTCTGTTCCGACCGCAGCCGGTACGGCTCTGTTCCGACCGCAGCCGGAGGCCGGCGGGGAGGGGTCCACACGGCTCTGTTCCGACCGCAGCCGGTACGGCTCTGTTCCGACCGCAGCCGGTACGGCTCTGTTCCGACCGCAGCCGGCGGCCGGCGGCGCGGCCGAGAATCCACCGCCGGCACCATACCGACGGCTACATGGGGCCAATGTGAGGCCCCGCAGAGCCGCCATGCAGCACGAGCCGTGGGTGCTCTGCTGGAGGATCGGCTTCGGTTGCTGTGACGGTGCAGATACATACAGCAGCCAGCCCGGCAGCCAGGCCACATGAGTGGGCCAATGGGCCTGGCCTGGAATGGGCCGCTTCACTTCTGTCGACTGGACGCTGTGCAAAGTGTAAGTAAACGCCAACGAGACGAGTCCTTTCCAGAACAAGCTAACCGGCAGGCTGACACACCGTCATGATGTGTTGGTCCATGGTTTGCTGCCAAATTGAGCTAATTATATAATTCAAACCTCTTTGTAGAATTCCACAGGGCCGCGTCAATGAACTACACTCAGCGGAGGCCGGCGCCATCTCCGTGGTGCGGACCGGGACCGTCTGATGGACCGGGACCGCGTGGTCCGGGGACCAGGGCCGTGGTGATGATGCTGCGCGGCGACGTGGTGGCGCGTCGGCCACCGGCGACCGGCCCCCGAGGAGGCGGTCCGGGTCCCGTTTGGTTTCCCCGGGCGCTCTCCACGCCCGGGGCGGGGGGGAGGGGGGGGGGGGGCTCCCCCACACCGTCCACCTCCAGAAGGCGGGACCCATCCAGACGGCCCTCCTTCTCCCCCCCCCCTCCGAACTTACCCGGGAGTTATTAACGTCAATACGCGTGTTTACCACCACGGCTGGCTCACGCCATGCTCGTACACAAGTTTGAATGTGTCGTGCCGACGCAAACAGGCTGTCGAAACTTGTGAAACTTAAATATCAGTGGGGTGGCAACGTCATTTCCAACTATATTGCAATGCAGTTTCTCAAAGCCCAGGATTCTTCTCATCCAGCATGACTTCAGAGCTTTCGTTGCAAACCTCACTCGACGTCAGAAGCAGTCGGGCCGATGTTGCGTGGTGCAAATAGTGTTGAGCAAACAAGCGTGCTGTCGAGTGGCGCCCGCATCGCCTGCGGACCCGCCCGCCACCGCCACCTGAACGAGCCGCCGCGGGCCGGCCGGCAGCGGAGCGGAGGTCGGGGCCGGGAGGTCGGGGTCGGGGCCGGGAGGTGGAGGCCGGGGCCCGGGAGGTGGAGGCTGGGTCGGGGTTGGGGCCCGGCAGGCAGAGGTTGGGGCGGGGCCGGGGCCCGGGAGGCAGAGGTCGGGTCGGGGCCCGGGAGGTGGAGGTTGGGTCGAGGTCGGGGCCCCGGAGGTACAGGTCGGGGCCGGGAGGTGGAGGCTGGGTCGGGGCCCGCCGGCGGAGGCCGGGCAGACGGAGCGGCACTCACCGACCACGCTCAGGTAGACGGGGTACGAGACCGGCGGCGACGAGCTCACTTGGCACGCGTACATGCCGGCGTCGCGGTGCTGCACGAACTTGATCTGCAGCGTCCACAGGCGGCTGGCGGGCGAGTGCAGCGCCCGGAAGCGCTGGTCGTTGGTGAATGTGAACTCGCCGACGGTGAGCAGGTGGATGTCGCGGTGGCGCACCCAGCTGACGGTGCGGTTGCCCAGCGCGCGGACCGTGCAGCTCAGGTAGGCGGTACGGCCCAGCAGCGCCGTCACGTTTCGGATCTGAGGCCGGTCGAACCATGGCCGGCCGCCGGCGGGGGCCACCGGCGGGTCCACCCCCAGCCGCGCCAGCCCTGCGCGCAGAGGGACAGGGGGCGGGTCACACTCGGCGGATCCACCCCCAGCCGCGCCAGCCCTGCGCGCAGAGGGACAGGGGGCGGGTCACACTCGACGGACAGCGGCCCACCCCTGCAGCGCAGCCTCGCCATCCCTGCGAGCAGAGGGACAGGGGGCGAGTCACACTCCGCGGACAGCGGCCCACCCCTGCAGCGCAGCCCCGCCATCTCTGCGCGCAGAGGGACGGGGAGCGGGTCACACTCGGCGGACAGCGGCCCACCCCTGAGCCGCAGCCCCGCCAGCCCTGCGCGCAGAGGGACAGGGGGCGGGTTACACTCGGCAGTTGACTGTGAGAAGGGGAACCGGTAGAGCTATGGAGCATAACGGAATGTCTATAAATATAATACACCAGACACGTATGGGAGGCACTTCCATTGACATCGAGAAGCATTTGCCCAAAACGAGGACACACTCTGAGCCATTTTCTGAATTATGAGGGCCGAGAGGTCTAAAAATACCGACAGACAGGTATCTGGAAAAGCGCGCTTTGTTCCGCCATCGTCATCGGTCCACGACGACATGACAGAACATAGGTACGTATATACATTGTGCATACTAGTGCATTGGTGTCCGGTGTCTACGCGCATATGACTGCAGTGTTCCCCCGTGACGCTGCTCCCATGTTTGGAGCACCACTCCATGTCTGTCGTCTATTCTGCGGCACTGGAGTGCACTTCTCTGGACGTCGTGTCCCAGAGGAGCCCTCGGGCCGGGTCACAGGTCGGCGACACAGCAGTGCGTCCCAGCTGTTAACCAGAAGCAACGCGTGCTGTTGTGGTCGTCCGCGCTGCAGGCCTCATTGGGTCGCCATAGCCGGACTCTGCCTACGGCGAGAGGTGGGGTTCGGGACGGTTCGGTGGCCGATACAGGAGAGCCGCGGACGGCTGGCGACCGACCGCCACCAGGCAGCCAAACGACATCGGCGGACGGTGGAGAGCGGGTCCGCGGCCACCACTCAGCGGACGGTGGAGAGCGGGTCCGCTGCCACCACTCAGCGGCGCTCTACAGGATCCGACCAGACTGCCACCGGGCCGCCACCGGACCGCCACCGGACCGTGGCCGAAAAAGCTTATGTTACGTAGCATAGGAGTTTCATCGAACTTGGAGAACTCGCTTCTTGAATTTAATTATTCGAACTAGCGGGATATTAGGCGATCCGTATCGTCGAGCTGATTACATCTAAGGCGCTTCCATGGCTCTAGCATGTCTCTATCAGAAGTTATTCGCAAAAAAACTGTTAGATACCATTCATGACCTGAGATGACCTCAGGGGCATAAACAGGGTGTCACGGGTGCCGTTTTCCAGCTCACACGGAGAAAATTTAAAACACTGCTAACGGTGTAAGTGGTTAAACTGCATACCCACGGGTGTTTTTGAAAGGTGGGGCATTCCACGATAGATCGTACCACTTTTTTCCAATTTGACACCCTTTTCTCTCGGAATTTGACGAGAATTGGTCTCAGGGGTAATCAGGGGCTCTGAATCCACCTGTAACAATTTCAGGCTTATCAGATAAGTATTTTTTGAGTTATGGTGTATAACATTTTTTGGATCTTGCTTTGCAGCGCTAAGTTTGGCGGGCTGTAACTCTAAGACGGATTATTCAAATGCCAAATGTTATATAACATTGAACTTGCAATGAAACAGAGATTAATATGTATTTTTGAAATTTCGAAAAATACGCTATTTTTGATATATGACATATCGAGTTTTCTTTCATTTGTATTTTTTGGACTTTGGGACCAAATTTTTTTGAATTTTTATTTCTTTAAAAAAAATATTTGGCTCATTGTTAAGAAGTATGCAAAAAATTAGGAAGGTGTTCTTTCTATAAATGTATTTATTTTACGTCACGATAACGGTTTCGAATAGTGATTTCGGGAGGGGAGCTTACAAATGGCGTGGTAAAGCTGCCTGGTGACATCACGGGTTACTGAAATTTCAATTCAAGTCTGAGTCATCTGAAAAAAGTGAAAAGAGGGTTCATTCAGCCCTCTTTCCTATAAGCGCGAGGGTGAAAAAGGCTGTTTGGTTCTGACATTGTTTTGGACGCCAATGACCATAGCTGTCCGAGATGAAAGTTACAGGACGCATACATGGTGTCCTCCAGAGGTCTCACAACTTGTATATCTGGGAATTTTTCAAGGTTACATGAGGTCAGGTCGGTCACGTGACACAACTGTTATAAATCAATGGGGAAATATAAAAACTGTTATTTTGGCGCCGAGAATGATCTCAAACTATCCCACGTACATGGTATCGTGATTTCATGCACTCCTTGCAAAGTCCAATGCTTTACTTTTGCATTGTTAACCTTGCGTGACGTCATTTATGACGTCACTAGGGTCGTACGAGTTTTTCGTCAATAACTCCCGATCAAATGGAGCTAGAGAGTCGGGAAAGCCACCAATGGACTCGGGAAGACCTTCCGAATCGAATGATATGCCATATGATACTCTTTGCCCAGCTTCGTGACCTGAGGGGCTCTGACCTGACCTTGACCCGAGGTCAACTACTTAAGTTGACTTCACCCTAGCAAAAAGTATACCATTCGATGCACCTGAGCTAGGCGAACACAATGATGCCAAAATCGCGGCTCTGCGGCCATTTTTTTTTTTGCGAAGTTATTTACTAAAAACCGAACCCGTAACTTCAGTCACGTGACCTGACCTCAGACGCTACCGGTTAACCTGAGACCTTAAAATCGGGTACCAATCGCTGCGACCTGTAACGGCACACACGCTCGTTTCTTCCGCGAGGCTCTAGCTCTATTAGAAGCGAAACGGCGTGCTGGGGTCGTATCAACCCCTCCGAAACCCATTTTGTTTGCGGGAAAATGAGGAACTTATAGAAAGAACACCTTTCTAATTTTTTGCATGTCGATTTGCAATGACATGAAGATTATTTTGAAAAATAAAAATGTGAAAAATTTTGGTCCCAAAAGTCATTAGAGGCAAATGAAAAAAGATTAAGGATTTTGCTCAACAATGAAATTTTTTCTTTGGAATTTTTAAATAGTAATATTAATTTTTGATTCATCGCAAGCTTAGTGTTGTTTATTTTGGGTTGGTTGCTTAACCCGTTCTTGAGTTATAGGCCATCAAACTCACCGTTACATACCGAAGTTAAAAAAATGTAATGCAATATAACTCAAAAAGTTTTGATCTGAGAAGTCTGATATTTTGCCAGGCGTCTTTGGGGCCTATGATTACCCCTAGGACCGATTTTCATTAAAATCTGAGAGATGAAGGTGACGGGCCTGGTACGATCTATCGTGGAATGCCCCAGGTGTCAGATAACACTTATATGAGCGTCAAGATACACCATTGTACTATCCCTAAGGGTGTCCAGTTTCTGTACTGTGGTGTCATACACCCCAGACAAGGGTGCGTTTCGACTCCCCTCAGACACCCTATTTACACTTATAATGGTGTCACCAAGATAACACCCGTAGGGATACTGGGGGGAATAATCGCTTGGGTGTGTGTTAAACTGCATACCCACGGGTGTAATTTAAAGGTGTCACAACGCTTATAACGGTGTCACCAAGTTGACACCCATAGGGATACTGGGGGGAATAATCGCCGTGTGTCATAGTTACATGCAATTCAGTGTTTGAGTGTGCTTAGAATCTCGTTCGCCCAAAAAAAGACGCCTTTCCATTTTCTCCCATTGACTTACTAGGTATTGGGAGGTCGCAAAATTGACCTGACCTTGGGTTACTGATATCAAAATTCCGAGATACACATTTTTTACACACCATATCGCTCATCAATCGCTGAAAGTTTCAAAGCGATCGGTCACCCGGTGTAGATATGCCAGACATTGAAGCTTTTTTATGAGGTGAGATCGCTTCAGTTGACCTGGTGACCTGACCTTAAGTGACCTTGGTCTGAAATTTTCACAACATATGCAGAAAAGATGCATACAAGGTGTTCCCAAAAAAGGTGGCGTTCTGCGACACCATTTTTTGAGACATTCCCGAATAACCACATCGGGGGTGTTCAAACAGCCCCAGCATGACGCTGGCTAATTTTTACATCCTTCCTAACTTTATTTATGGTAAAATACACAATTTTGAATACTTACGCGTAAATATTATGCGATTGGGATTGGGTGCAGATTTAGTCGAGCTTGCAATTCCATTTGTCTGGTGCATTTGCCAGATAACCGGTGGTGAAAACGCTGGTATCGACCAGCCCTCGCCGGCAATGGAGCTTCCACAGCGGCTAACGGGAGAGATCGACCTACCCCTACCCCCCCCCCCTCCCTACAGTTCAGCCCCTGAATGAGGTGGAGCTTCGTTAAAACGAGCGTATTGCTCGTCATGAGAGGAATCCGATGGTATCTAATTATGTTTATGGTTGTTAGTCGCCGGATGACTAGGTCAGACCCTTGTCTGGACCAGTCGTCTCACAGCTGAGCAGAAATGTGTGATATATTATCAGACCCTCCATAGGATTGCTGTTACCACAATTAAAACGTCTAAGCTGCAGTGAAAATACTTTGGAAACAGTGCCCCAGTGGAAATGCGGTGACTCTGTTTTCTTTTCTTTTCCATTTGCCTAAATACAAATAATTTGCTGGAATTCGTCCAAAATATTTGACTTAAACATTTGGACTGATCAAAATAGAGAAATATATTATAAAATGTGCCGACCTTTTTTTACTTGTATAAAACAGATTATATTTCCAGTGTAAATGTTCCAAAGCAGCCATTACGGTGGTGAGCGACATTCACGTTTTTGGTAAGGCCACTGACCGCTACCTGGTGACTTGACCACTCAGGCAAAAATAAGGTCAAAGTGTTTCCAAAATGTGTGGAAAGCGCATGGCACATAAGAGGTACCAAAGCTGGAGAACACCGATTGTACAATCAAAAACTTTGGATGGGAGGATAAAACCTCTAAGCTCTAAATGGAGGATCGGCCCGACACGAAGGGGCCCAGAGGTGGG